ACAACATTCATGACTATTGGTTTGTGGATGCTTGGACTTTTGCTCAAACTCGGTAAAACGTTGGAATTAATCAACGAAGTACCACAGTATGTATCAAACGGTAATAGGTGGCGCTTACTCACTAGTTTTCTAATTTTTCGGAGTTACTTTTCACTAATCGGTAGTGAATAGGCAGAGGCTAGGTAATTCCCTATTGTGTTGCCAGCTTTAACCTCAGGGATCCGAGCGAAGAAATAACTCGGCGTGCGCAATGTCAGGCTGTAAATGGTAAACGCAGGCGGATCTCTTTCATAAGTCTGTCGGGTCTGATTGTCGAAAGTGGTCCAGATGCCATCACTTGGAAAAATCATTCTAACCGTTCCTGTTTGCGAGGTCAGTGGATGTCTACTGTAGTTTAACGGTCTCATTTAATGTAGAGTCGAACAATTCTGTTCCTATAGTGAAAAATGCTACCACAATATACACTGCCACCATCTCCAAACTACTGACGTCTGAAGGGACATTCAATTGCTTCTACTGTTGGCTTACTCCCACTTTTCAAGTAAGGACATCCACCTTACTTCCTTTTCGTTAGTTGCTTTAAACGCTAACATTCGCGCATCCTCGCATGAATTTAGGCCTTTTTTCTTCCAATTCAGCTCGTGCATGTCTATGCATGTAGAATATGGAAGAAAGGGATAGACGGAGGGGAAGACGCAAAAGAAACACAAACAAGTGAGAGCAGTAGGCGTAGGAGGCCGGTAAGAGGAGTGAGGATGAAAAGAGCGCTACCACCACCAGAGTCAATGAGTCTCTTAAGCCTTTGCAACGATGCGGCAGCTTGGCCCCTGCTGTCACTGTTAGCAGATGTAGTAGGTGCTGTAAAGTCCACCGATTTTGACGTCAGCCTGTGTAACGCATTGCAGCACGATGCTGCGATCGTCAACATATGGCCACTTGCAGTGAATCCTATCACAACCAGCACGCAATAGAAGGACCTGGTATCAATAATTCGTGATTACCTCATTAATAAATATGTGATAAATTGATTTTGTTATTCGAAACTCAAGCATATTTTCCCAATCGCATGCCCGAAAAATAAGCAAATTTTGAAGAAATCACAGCATAAAGTTTCAACTTTTGTTGAAACCTGATCATACATGGAGAGTGGCATTGAATAAGTGTGGATAAACATTTCTTTTCAATTTCCTCAGATCAACTGGACTACTTTTCTTAAGCTTGTACCGCTAACCTGATATTGTAGCAGGGTAGACTGGAGAAAACTTCAAAAAAAGCAACATGCTATGACCTTAGCAATGAGATTTGCTGTCTTTACAATAATTTGTCAAAATTATATTTAATGAATTTCATTTTCCATTGTCTTCAATTCCAACTCATATGTGCTACTGTTGTGACTTGAAAAAGATGTTTTGTGGTAGAAGGCTGCGTCATTATGATATAGACGTATTAGCATGGTAATTTTTAAAAAAAAATGTGAGAAGTTGCCCAATCTACCACAAATCACCTCGCAAACGAAGAAGTCTGATAAAAGTATGTTTCATGGATAACACCTCCTAGCATTGGAAAGCTGATTTCTATCACCATGTCGGGTTTGAGAAAGGAAGCAGAAATGATGTGACTAATCTTATTACGATAACATATAGATAAAAGACCCTCGAGCTATTACCTGTAAGAAATGAAGGATGATGTATCATACGAAGAGGGGATTGACGTGCGCACAGATATGCGGGCAGGATTAAAGATGGATCAAGTAAAAGGTCATGGTAACTTTTGAGCTAATAAGTCCCTCTAAATTTAATAATCAAGCAATCGTACGTACATGCAAATGCTACTAAAGGCTTGCTATCGAATCACAATAGCGCTAACATCATCCTTCCAGTCAATCGTGTCACTTTAGCACATGTAATAAGACAAAACTCCCCCTACTGATTGGCTGGTGATGAACTTCTTAAAAACCGTAAACCCCAGTACCCAGAGCTTCAAAAAAATGTTACGTATGCTGATTTTTCAGAGCATCTAGTGCCTTGTGAAATAAACAGTCTTCATGAGGGCAACCGTGCATTTGGAGCACTTTTAAGAAAAGGATACAATTTTTAACAAGAAGGCCGACTGCTGTCCGAGCCCTTTGCAGCGTGTATTTTACAATGTCACATACCTTTGAGGCAGAATGAAACTGAATTATAGTAGGAGCCTTGCAGTCGTAGCACTTGTTTCAACATCACTGACGCTAAACTCACCATCACTCGAAGCGACCTTACGCTGCTGCTCTAGGACTCAAATGCTGTTAGAAAATGATCGCTGATATAATTCCTTATACAGATGGGACCATCATTTCTAAATCATTTGTAGTCTTCCCACGGCAATCCTTAAGTTAATGTATTTCTGGATCACGTCGAAAATGGTTAAACCTCACCAATGATTTACATGGTATGCCTATGCTATGGCCAAGCACTTGCCTACCAATTTAGATATCATTCCTTCCTAAAAAACTGTCAGTTTGTCCCTTTTTTTCAAATAGGCGTAATCTACTTGCCTTGATCATTCGCTTGACTTGGTGCGGACAGCCATGGCACAACCACATAAACTACATCACAGCTAACCTTTTCTTCTCATTAGTAAGACTCTTTTATCTCTATGTAACACCCGCCACTTAAGTAGTTCTCAATGCCGTTTCAAAAAGTGCCCCAAGACCTCTCTCCTACTTACTTCTTTTTTTAAAGTAATTAGGCAACTTTCATTAACGCCAATGAGGCAAAGTGCGTCTTTCCGTATAGCTAAATAAGGCTTTCTTGAAATTTAGCAAGTGTGTTATCTTCTGCCAATCTTACCAATGTTGACCTGGTCATTTACTGTAGTTTATAACATGTGTCTCATACTGCAAAGCACATTTGTGATGATTGTGTGGAGTAAAACACAAACTTCTACGTCCACTCAAATTGCTATTGCGTCAATGAGAAGTTATTGAAAGTTAGGAGAATTTAAGGCAAAAATTTACACATTACCTTCATCATCACATAGCCGCAAATTTTAAACCGGATCAGT